CCGGTCCAGACATTTTTTGAACGTAGATCAAGAGTGTTTGCTCCACTCCAGTGCAGAGCCAAGGGCCATCAAGGGCGAAGCGCTGGCCTCCGCGTCCATGTCTGAGGCACGCCGTGACCTCTGGGATGAGGCCATGCCCTGACTGGGCGCCGACCTCAGACACGCGGCAGACACGTCCCGGCCCCGGTCCCGGCAGACGCGGCAGACAAGTCGCGCTGGAGCCGTGGCGAGGAGCTATGACGGCCGGACCAGCACGTCTGGGCCCCCGACCATCGCCCCCTCGCCGGCGGCCGGACCAGCCCATCGCCCCCTCGCAGGCGGCCGGACCAGCCCACCTGGTCCCCGCCCACCGCCCCCGCGCCGGCGGCCGGACCAGCCCGCCCGGTCCCCGCCCCATCTCAGAACACGATCTCATTGACGGCAGGCTAAGGAAGAGTCTATCGGAACATCTGGCCAGAAGCTGCGATAGCGTTAGATGAATCCACCGACATAGCTGACGGCGGTTCGATCGTTTTGGAAATTCCGACAACACAGGCAAGAGGTCTGTTTACGGGGCGTTGTGCCCTTCGACATGACAATGCTGTGTTCTGTTTCCCTGACGCTGCCGCATAGGTATTCTTGCAATGTAATCTTCACCCCCTTTGGAGAAGATTATCAAATGTGTCATGCTGCCAGCATGACGTGTGTTTTGTGGCGTATGGAAGGTGGCTGGAATGGTTGTAGACACCCTGATGAACATGCAAATGATGACATGCATGTCAACAGTTTAGACATTGAGCACAATTCAAAAGAGGCAAGAAACTTTCTGTCCGAGGTCAAAAGCTCACGGGCCCGTTTGGCTTGGTTGTTTAAGATACCATTTTTGGCATTCATGCAGTCTTAGGTAGTCTTTTTATATGAAAGGTGTGCTCATCTTTCATCGTCCAGCATCATAATATACGCATTTAATTCATTTCAGCATTACTCCACCCAAGCAGTGGCGTTGGCCGTGTGTTGTCAACCCATCCATGGCCAAATGCTCTGCCTCCACGCCTTCCGACCTCGAGCGGAGGGGATCAGACACAGGCGGCTAACGGCCAGCTCTCCTGCCGACTCTCGCCCGCTGCAGCTAATTTATGTAAGAGTGTCAGCGGTGGTGGCGCCGGCGGGCCGCTGCAAGCCGGCCGTTCCTCCCCATCCGTCTGTCTGTGCTGACCGGAGCGCTGACCGCAGATGGCCGGCGCCGGAGGACAGCAGCAGCGCGGCGGCGCCGGAGGACAACAGCAGTGCGGCGCCGTCGGCGGACAGCAGCAGCGCGGCGGCGGCGGCGGACAACAGCAGTGCGGCGCCGTCGGCGGACAGCAGCGCGGCGGCGCCGGCGGACAGCAGCAGCCCCACTAGCCGGCCTGCCCCCGGCCGGCTGGTCGCCGCCGGTCGCCGTACGCCCGGGATAGCGCCGGGCTGCCCGCTGGCCGGTACGTGACGCCCTGCGCCCGGCTGTCGTGGTGACGGGGACGGCGTGCGGGCTCCTCTGACGCAAACCCGCAGCCGCCCACCGCTCCGGAAGGAGCCAAGGATGCCGGCCGCTCTAAAGAGGCCTCCGGCCCCGCTGGCAGCCATGCGCCGCCCGTAAAGGTACCGGCCTGAGGCCCGCGAGCCGTCGGCCCTCGTCCGGCCTTGGCGCCTCTTCGACGAGGAAACGTAAAAACACAGGTCGGGAACACCCGCTCCGAGGCACGCTGAGGAGGAGCAAAAAGCGGCGGCGACGTGCCGGCCCCGCAGCGGCTATCGCTTGGAGAGTGTCGTGACCGGCCGGCCGGCCGAGCAGCACCTCACCAGTCACGCGACCGGCCGGACGGAGAAGCTCTCAGCCCGGCCAGCCGGACAGAGCAGCTCTCAGTCCGGCCGGCCGGACAGAGCAGCTCTCAGCCCGGCCAGCCGGACAGAGCAGCTCTCAGTCCGGCCGGCCGGACGGAGCAGTTCTCAGTCCGGCCAGCCGGACAGAGCAGCTCTCAGTCCGGCCGGCCGGACAGAGCAGCTCTCAGCCCGGCCGGCCGGACGAGAGCAGCCCTCAGTCCGGCCAGCCGGACAGAGCAGCTCTCAGCCCGGCGGTCGGCGAGCAGAGCACATCCTGAGACGGCCGAGCCGAGATACTGGGCGTCCGTGGCAGCCGGGCACGGGGTTCTAGAGGGAAGGAGAGAAGGAGGAGAGGGAGAGAAGCGGAGGCATGCCGCGGGAGACGATTCTTTAGCAATATAGACGAGGTTCATCTGGAGGTGGCACTGTCAGCTTAGAGTGACCTAGCAGGAACGGATTCACCTCTCCTTGCCGGGTGGGAGGATAGAATACAGGGCTCTAAGTAAGTGATTCGTATAAACGCACTTATGTCAAGCGTGCACCGAACATATTGACTGGACCGGCAGTGGCGCTCGCCCTCGACCCACAGGCCGTCCAGATCAAACAGGAGGGTCTGCTATCCGTAAGCCTCTTCACTCCGCCTGATTTGCTTCAGCCCGGATCAGGACGAGTCTGAGTGAAGTGCCTGCGAGCTGTAAGCAGGTCCGGGATCCGCCTTCCTGGAGCGGCAGCCCGCGGCGGCGGCGGCAGCCTGCGGCGGCACCAACTGCACAGTACCGACACCGGCCCGCCTAACTTGATTGTTCCGTTTCTCTCTGACTTCTAAGCCGGTGATCCCTGGCGGTGTCCGCAGATTACACGGCCGGATGACAGAGGGATGACGCCCGATACAGAGCTCAGCAAAGGCGCTGAGTGAAGCCCGATACAGGGCCAGGCAGGGCGCCGAGTAAAGCCCGATACAAAGCTCAGCAGGGCGCTGAGTGAAGCCCGATACAGGGCCAGGCAGGGCGCCGAGTAAAGCCCGATACAAAGCTCAGCAGGGCGCTGAGTGAAGCCCGATACATAGCTCAGCAGGGCGCTGAGTGAAACCCGATACAGAGCTCAGCAAGGCGCCAAGTGAAGCCCGATACATAGCTCAGCAGGGCGCTGAGTGAAACCCGATACAGAGTCAGGCAGGGCGCCGAGTAAAGCCCGATACAAAGCTCAGCAGGACGCCGGGTGCTGCATCTGATAGAGCGGAGCCGACAGGTGAAGTCGTGACCAGACACTGCGACCTGAGGCGAATCACAGATGCGCGCCAGCTCTGCGCTGCGCTCTGATGTCCTCTGCGATGCCGCCTCACGAAGAGACCTTTCTTCCACATGTGGTACGACTACGAATGAGGCTTGGCTAAAAAGCCGCACGCCGCAGACGAGGGGCGGCAGGATGTGGTGGATCGCTGGCTAGTGGTCCCATCTATAGATATTTATCCCGTATGATATAAGCTGACTCCATTCCAGCCCACCAGTGCGCTGAGCTGACTCCATTCCAGCCGACCAGTGCGCTGAGCCAGACACGCGACACGGCCAGCAGCGATGGGTGCGCACACAGCCGCCTGCCGGCCAGCCCAGTCAGCACCCAGGCGCGCATGTACACGGCGGGTTGTCAGGCCCAGGGACCATGTGACCTGGCAGTGTGACCCGTGCCAGCGACGGCTGCGCGCTTTTCTGTGGGCCACTATTGGAGGTATGCCGTGTTAACTTTGTGGCTACAGACACGTGGCCGATGTCTCCCATGTCTGCCGAGAAGACGGCCCCAGCTGCCAGCGATACAGTCAACACTATATGCTGAAGAAAGGAACATATGCTACCAAATGAATTCCATGAAGTCCCATTTCTTCAAGCAAGCTGGCCTTTCAGCCCATCAGCTCACCAACGCTGATCGGATAAGGAAAGATCTGTCTGAGCAGCGTGTTTAATGCATGCCTCTAGCGGTTTGATGCCCACAGTTGCAGCACGCCAGCAGTCAGCTGACTTGTGTGATCGCTGACCGCTGATTACCGCAACTCAAATGCCGCGCAATCCTTATTCTGCCAATAAAACCGCACAAACGCACAAGTTCTTGAAATTACACCTTTAACAGACCATGAGCGTCTGTTTTCATTTGTGCAGTCCATCCGCTCCCA